ACTTTGCATGCTTGTGTTCTCACACTTTGTTATTAATTAGCTTTTCTAAAAATGTTGTTGTGGACCTTTCTGCTCATATATTTTGGTTGGACTACCTGACTCTGGTGTCATGGAATGTATTATCTTGCTGCTGACAATTTTTTCCCTCATATTGGGAAGAAAACCAGAACCTGCTATATGTACATAAACACGTTCCACCTCTCTCCATGCCTAGATAAGGAATTGAAAAGGTGGATGGGTGAAGGAGGAAACCTGCTTATTACGGTCATTTTTATCAGTTTGGACCAACACCAGATTTTGTCATGGATCTGATTTCCCTTGAGCTCCATCTTGCGTGATTGAATATGATCTAAGAAAGAAGACGTGAGCATTTTGCTGGCAAGTCAATCTACAAGACTGAGCAAGACACCTTCTATAGGGCAGGCTTTAAGATAAAACCCTAAATAATCATACATCTTCATGGATACATATGTTTCTGTGTACATATATACATGCAGGTTTGTGAATAAACATGCATGTATACTACAGCATGTATTTATTTTTTAACATTTCCAAACCCTTGGAAGTTTAGAAGGTAAGTGTTACAACGACAGATTTTTAGCTTCAGTTGTTTTCTGATACCAACTTCTGACATGAAATCAAATAGGAACACTATGTAATCTCTTTTAAGAGGTATCTGGCTGTAAGCAGAGAATGATATATTAACATAAATCACAATTCCTCATGAGTAATTCTACTCTTCATTCCTTTTATGTTCTAGATAATTTCCTAAACTTACAACAGCTGTCTGTTTTGTTTCCGTTTTCAGTAGAAATTTGAATAGAAAAAGTAGAAAAATAATGTCATATGGCAATGGACAAGGCTCCATTGACAGAAAATTTGAAAATATAAAAAAAATATTTTTTTTGAAATCTAAAACCCAATAGTAGTGAACAGGTTATAAATCCGAGATGAGTATTTCAAACCCAATTAATGCTGGAATGAGGTGGACAATATAAATAAAAATCACACAGATGTTTTCCATACAGCAAGAAACTGAGTATAATGCTACAGCTGGTGAATTGAAGTCAGAACTAAAATCAAGACTCAAAAATTATGTATAGTTTAAACCCTACTTCCTTTGAAAGCTTCCCTGGATTGAATCTACTCCTTTGTTTGGAAATTATGAGAGTCATCCTGTTTTACACATTTCTCACAGCATTATAATAGTAGTGATTTCTTTCTATGACACCTCAGGTTATGATATTTGGGTATCATATGAGAGATCATATGACTCCAGTTTTTAATTGAGAAACACCATCATTGCTGAATAAATACCATCTAAATTTTGTGTTTTGGTAAGCATAAGGTTTGAACTATTTTGTTTCTCAATTGGCCTGTCTCCCCATCTGCAGGACAGGCACATCACTTGTATCTGATACTAGAAGCAAACAAAATACTGTGATTAAGCTTAGGTGTTCTCTAATTAGGAAGATCTCATTAAAGCAACTGGATACTTCATGCCTTGTACTTGTTGGAATTTCTATTTTCTTCCATCTTTTTTTACCCTCCTTGCTGTATGGATCACTAGACAGTTGTTTCTCCATGTGTGCAGCACAGATAGGATACGATATCGTAAGCACTGGTCTGTGGGAGTTAATGTGTGAAGTGGTTATGGTACACCTCTGGGAACAGTCTGGGGTCTCATTCCTGGGAGGAGCCCAAGTATTTCTGATATTTAAACTTTGCATTGTTGTCTTTCTGCAAGATGCAAAAGGCCACTCTATCTATAGAGTCTCCACCACAATGAAGACACTGTGGCTGGGTAATGAAACCTGGAAAGTCAAAGGCAAAGGCTGCTCATCACTTCTAATACCATTCTAAAGCAATTCGAGCTGAGCCAAAACTTCAGGTGGAATTTGGCCCCCATTCATACTTCTGCTATTTCTACATAACTTCCTGTTACTGACATGGAAAAATACACATAAAGCATTCCTGAAGGGGCAAGACTGTGTAGTAGTACTGAATAAATACTTTTAAAATGCACATAAACTACCTGTCTGTATGTATTAAATTACAGCAGTAGGTATAATTTCAAATACTTTTTTTTCAGGAGGAACTTCAAGGACCTGGAGGGATTCAAAGCAGAGGCTACTTTTTCTACAGGGTATGGCTTGTTTGACTTTTTTCATTTTGTGATGAGTTACCAAAAAACAAAAACAAAACAAAACAAAAAACCCCACACTGTATAGGACTACTTAAGCTCGCTCCAGACTTTTTCTTGGATTAAAATAAAGGCATAATAGGAATTTTTAAAAAATATTTTTAGGTTTGTGTATACGTGATACCTTGTTATCCCTTAAGAAGTTATTGGTTATTATGTATTTAATTCTCAGATAAAGTTCTAGAAAATATGGCATCTTGGACAATCTTTCTTAAGCATTTTTCAACCTGGTACGTTTGCATATGATATAAATACAGTGCCACTCTTACACACTGTAATAAAACAGCTATTAGGCCTGACCTTGCCATTTTCCTTTTGACCAGTAAGGTCAGAAATTAAATACATAAATTCTAATGAGACTGAATCTACTGAATTCATCTTTTATGCCATGTTGCATTTTCACTTCTTTTTGACAAAATTGAGAAGATGGAAAGTCAGACTTAATAATAGTTCCTTTGATTTTGGTTACTATTTCTTTCCGCTTAAAAAACGTGGTTAATGGCTTTAAATAAGAAGGGGGCTAGGATTGGACTCAGTGATATTAAAGGTCTTTCTTGCAGTTTTATGAAGCACTTACTGAATATTTGTCTTTCAGCCACGTAATGGAAGGAGATCAGTGGATTTTCACTAAGGAGGTATTTATTTAATACTTTTAATCATGATTTATGTATAAATTAGTTTATTTTTATACATATAGACCACAATATTTATATTGATAAGTAGTCTCAGAAAGCTTTTAACTATGGGGTCAACTTAGATTTCCACCCACAAACTTCTCTTGGTTGTGTTAAATACATTGATCTTCAGATGAAGTGAATAGAAACTGTAGGTACTCAGTTCGCAGAACAGAAAACAGAGAGGTGTTTCAGGCAGCAAGAAATGTAAACAGTTGGGAAAGTTAATGATGATGATAAGTATATGTAAGAAAGAACTGATCCAACTACATGTCACATACACACTGAGCAGTAAACTGACATCCTAGAGGTAATGCCCTAATCTTACAAAGACATAAAACTCACACTGAAACCAAGAAAAGACTTCAGGATTTAATTTCAAAGCATTCAACTATTTTTTGAGAGATATAAAAAAGAATACCAATATTATAATGCTCTGTTTTCTAATGTATTTTATACCTCTATCATATTTTAAGTACTTAGTGTTAAATCAACAGCTAATTCTTTTTTTTTTTTTATTTTTCAGGATTTTAGGATCCTCATCTAGATCTAATACCGCAGGAATGCTGAGTACATGGATGTACTGTTTTCCTTACAAAAATTATTCATTACTAATGTACAATTAAAAATAATTTGAATGTAAATGTTCTTAAACTAGATTCTGTTTAGGATTCAAAAGTTTCTTTACTTTCTTGATTATATTAAAAGCATATTAAAATTATTTGCTTCCTAGTGTTATGATGTTTGCAACCACATGTAATCCAGCTGTAAAACAGACATTGCCTCTACCAACACTGTTAAGTAAATAATTTTTCCTTTCTAAATAAAAGAACTCAGCTAGAGAGTTGTTTTAATAAGAATTTTTGCAATACAAATACAGAAAATTGCGTTTTTTTCAGAATATATCATAAGTGATTTGTGCAGTCTTTAAAATCACAGCTTATCTAGGCAGGCCAAAGAAAGTGTAGTTTGATATTCAAGATGATGTTCTCTCCCCTGTACTTCCTTTGATGTAGTCTGTGGACTTGTGGCAGTCTACAGAGTCAAGGGCAGTACTGTGCAAGTGATCTGCAAAACTATATTGATGATAAAGGAGTTTTGCAATCCCCAATAAACTTCAAGATTATACTGTTTCACTGGAAAAAAAGATGAGATTCTCTATTCCCTTAATAAAAGAAACATGAGTAAGTTGTATGTTTTGAAGAAATATCTTGACTTTAATTCAACTGAAATATAATGGCATAAATTTTTTAGCCATTAAGAACAGAGATGCACTATGGTTCTCATTCAGAAGAAGATTTATTGCAATTGGGATTAGGATTCACTTGAAAATTCAACTGCTTTCAATGTAGATTTTAAGAAATTCTACTAAGAAGCACAAGTTAGCCTCACAATCTTCCCAGCTTCTCTCTCTGAGTTTATTTGTAATTATGTTGAACATAACTAATAATTCAGATGGGATGATCTTCATGGTCCATTCCAATCCAAACCATTCTATGATTCTATGATTCAGTGTAGAAACAGACTAAAGTTTTTAACATTGTATTGACTGGTCATGGCTTGAATTGACCTCACCATTCTTACTCCTGCTTCTGCAATTTTGGATGAGCACTGTAGCTTCAGAAGGTAGCTGGGAAAATGAGGGCCTCAGAAGTGGAAGCCAAATTGAGAAGACCTTTTCCTCTTTTTGCTCACTCATTTTTGCGCTGCCGTTTGCTGTGCCTCCAGTTGAACTGGCACCATTATTTGTGAACTGAGGATCTAGTTACCCATGGCCCCTGCTCAGAACTAATGCGGGGCCTGCCACAAAATTGTATTTTATGATGTGTTGTATTAGATTAGGCTATTTGTTTGAAGTTTTTCCCGCGAGTGCCTTACACCCCACAGCTGACAGCTCCTGCTCTGACAGGCAGGGTGTGAGCAGCTCACAGCTGAGGGCAGGGCAGGGCAGGGTGCGGGATGGCTGCCTTTGGTCGCACCAAACCACCTCAGAGTGCCACCCTCTGACATTCTATTCCTTTCTTCTGGAATTGTTTTAAAGGGGATCAGTTTTTTCAGTGGTAACCCACGAAGGATGGGCCAAGTGGACAGGGCTGCCCTGCTGCCCCTGTCCTGCCAGCACGGGGTCAGGCCAGCAGGCTCCGTGAGGGGCAGCGATGCCTGGGGCAGCCATGCAGGTGGGCACGGAGCGTCACCCCAGCACCGAGCTGTCCGGGGCAGGCAGACGCTGAGGCTGAGGGCAATGAGGGATTTGGGTCAGGGGCGTCAAGGGAACGGGGGAGATTTCGGGTGGGTGGTAGAGGGCAGTGCTGGGGCAACCAGAGTGTGGCTGGGAGCAAAGGCAACTGCTGGGAAAGGAAGGCTCCGTCAGCAAGGCCGTGCCTGCCACAAGGCTCTGCAGGGCCCCGCAGGGCAGGGGGAGCCAGGGACGCTGCTCTGGTCCTGCGTAACCTTCCCAGCCCCTGCAGGGTCCTGAGAAATGGCAGGTGGGACAGCAGCTTCTGCGGGTTTCCTTGTGCCAAGACATCAGGAAACTCTACGTCTCTAACCATTAAGAATTAACTATCACTGCTGTCCTGTAAGGATAATAAAATGCTACAATTTGTTAGCTGAACAGTTGTAGGTGTAACATGTTTTAAAAACATCTTTGAGGATTTGTTTCATGTCATTAGCCAGGAAAAAAAGAACTGCAATTTAAATTTATTGGAAGTGTTATTTACACGTAACGATTGATGTAATCCAGGGTGTAGTTCACCAGCTGGTGGTAATTAACATCATCACTGGCAGCAGTCAGACGTGTTATGGGAAGGGTTTTCTCTTGGGTTTGTGCCCTGCTGGTAAAGTAATGCTGTTTCAGTGATGTAGCTTCATACTCTGAAACCAATTTATGTTGGATCATTTTTGCTACTTCTTGGCTCCTTTGCACTCTTACCATTTTAATTCAATTTGTTAAAAATTGTTAAAGGTTTGCTAGTTTCTGACTTCCATGAAGCAGGAGTTCAGATTTATCAGATAATCATTTCTGTTACATTTACTGTGACCTGGGATTCTTGATGATTTTTTTTCTTTTATATTTTGTAGATGTAACAGCATCTAGAAAATGCTCAGTGTAGAACTGGTTACACAAACCTATTGAATGTTGCAAGCATTAAATAGATATAGTATAAAATGCACCATTTAAGTAAAATACTATGGAAAGATTTTATGTTGGACCTAGATTTACAGAAGAACACAAGATGTCAAAATATTCAAAATATTTCCTGCCAAAAAAATGGTCAGAGCTTTTCTTCTAGGTTACCTATATTCCAATTCCATTTGAGTAGTCCTTTTTGCTGTGTGGTTTTGAAGTTATTTGTCCAGTTATGATGATGATTTTTATTATGTTTTTTAATATCTTGTGGTTCTTCATAATCCTGCTATGAGAAAGGATTTGCATTCTATGAAGTGGGCCAAACTGATCCTGGCTTAAATCAGGCAATCATACACTAAATGCTAATTTGGAGGCCAAAGTGCATGTCTATCACTTGTGTTTCTTCTGTGGTTACCTTGGAGGAGGAGTATTCCTAGTTATGTGGATTTTTTTGATAGCCTGGCTGTACCTAAGTCAAAATTCTGCTTTGGTGAAGGATTGAAAACTTGCAGTAAGACTGAGTGTAAGACTTTTGTGTAAGTAAACCCTGAGGAATAACATTATAGCAAAATCTTCATTTGGGTTTTTTCCTACTACAGACCCATTAGTGACCATCTAACTCATTAGATTATTTATGGAGCTTCTCTTTTAGTTTTTTCCCAATGGATTGTATCAATTACTTTTCAGTCAAAGAAAGAAATATTTTTATATGTGGATAAAGTCAGTTTGCGAGTATATTTGAAATATCATTTGGAGATGAAATAACCACTTTCTTAGAGGTAGAAAGTTACAGAAAATAATTTTCTGTAATTATTGTAAATATTTACAGTGGAGCAGTCCAACATCTGGATATCAGAGCTTTGCAGAAGGAATAAATTACTCAGATGTGAAATCTCTTCTTTATCTTAGCAATAAGGCTCTCGAAGTTTGCAGGGCCAGAGTGCTGAATTAGTAGTGCATGTTGGTAGCAGTACCCTTGCCTGCAGTCTTCTGAGCCAGTGCAATAGGAGTATTGGAGGAACTGTCGTGAGCTGCTGCCCCTTCCTTTCCACTTCAAAGCCTGCCAAGCCTTGCTTCCTCCCTCATGCCAAAGAAACTGGCAGAGATCAGAGTCTTCTTGCAAACCCAGTTTCTAACTTCCTTGTGAGTGATAGCATGATTCTATTTACCCTCTCTATGAATTCCACAAGCATCTTTTCATCTAAATTGCAAAGCAATTTTTTCTACCGTTGTGAAAATCCTTGAGGCATTGTAGCATTTGATCTCCATTAGAATTTGTTGCATTATACTCATGCTAAATTCTGTGCAAGAGCCTTGTTGAATAAAAATTAAGCAGCTGTCAGTTGAAAAGGCCGATGCCGTACTCGTGGGCACAGTAGTAATCCAATGGAAATCCTGGATGTTTCCTCAGGTAAAATTTTTGTAATGTACTTTTTGTTCATATTATGCATTATTATTATGGAATATGTTCATCACTAAATATTTCTGTTATTCATATTTATATAATTATTTATTTATGGAGGCTTTTCCAACAAGTCATTTCAGGGCCAAAAATATCATGCTTTTTGATTAGCAATCAGTTTTAAAATCTGCTTTACTACTTCCAATCCATATTTGAGACCTCCCAAGTGTTGCTATTCTATCATTACAACAGCAGCCCTGTTAAAATAGAGTCTTTTAATGTGATTATTTCAGTAGAAATGTAGTCTTATGAATAGCATGCAGTTCCTTTATCTTAACCATTGAATTAAAATTACCACAGAAGTCCAGTGTTACAAACATGATATATTATGTTAACAGATTAATATTAATAATTGATTTAAAACAAAATGGTCTTCAGATTCTAGGTATGCTTTTATACATTTATTCACAGCGTCAATACCTTATTCTTAGTAGTTCTTGCCGTTTTCGGTTCTTAAGTGAAAAATGACAAATAAAAATTCATGATAGAGAATGGTCCATGAAGGTATTGCAGCCTCAAAATAATGGATTCCTTTTCTTCCACCTTTAACACATGCCAAAGTGAAAATTACTGGTTTTGATTTTAAAAAAGGCACACAAGTATCATTCGTTGCTTTAATTTTGCTTCGTACTATTAAAACAGGATCCAAATGAGGATACTGATTGGAATGACATCTTGAAAAATTTTGGAATTCTTCCTCCGAAAGAAGAACTGAAAGCATGCCATTAGTATAACAAATTTTAAAAAGTGGGAATATTTTCAATAATACTTTTTATAACTTATTCAAGTTATAAAAATATTGTACAATAATTATGTTTTATTTTTTATTATTTTCACTTTTTTTTTAAATGATTCTGAATTAAACATACAACACAGTTAGTGACAAACAGTTTACAAAGAATAAAAAAGCTAACTCCATCAAAACATTTCCTCTGTTTAGTTTCTACCTGTACTTACTGCTTTTGAGTTTCTGAAATGACCAAAATATTTCTAGTGCTAACACTGTGTATCTAGTGCTGTATTCTCACAGGAAGATAATAATTCACAGTTATGCAGAAGTTGTGAACCTAAACTATCTTGTATTGTTGCTAGAGTGTAATAATACTGTACATGTATTATTTAATTTTAATTTTTTTTAAAAGCCACTTCTGTGTGGCTTTCAGTTAGTAAAATTAAGAGCTGCTTTTAGTTCAACAGATCTCAATAAAGTATTTTCCTTTTCTACCTTGCAAGTATTTTTATAGATGAAGACTGCCATCTACTGTTTTTACATTTCAGTTTTCATGAATTATTTTAAAATTGGTAAATATTAGTGTACATACTGTAATTCCTTCTTAAACTAATCTCATTTTCAGGATCACAAAAACAATTAGTACCTGCTTTAACATTTTCTGGCTTTTTCTCGAGCCCCCGGTGGTCCAGGGGAAAATTCACTGCACTGTCACTGCAGAGACCCAGGTTCGATTCCCGGTCGGGGCCCCTCCCCGGGCAGATGGAGCTCGTTAGCCCGTAAGGCAATCCATCTACGTCCTGAGGACCTCGCTGCCACCGTCCAAGCGTGCTTGGCCCCGGCAGATGAACCTCTGGATTAAAGGGTGGGCTCAGTTCCGCGCACACTGTGTCTCACCTAAAAAATCCAGTGCGCAGGCTGGAAGGTGGAAAGACCTTCCCCGGTTCTTCGTTCGCGAAGAGACTGGCCATTATTAAATGCCTGTGCAACTTGTTACTCAAGTTTCCCAAATCTGATACTGCTTAATTAAGAAAATGTATTTTAATGTTATATTATTGAATGACGATTGGCATAGAAAACTTTCTAGGTGTGAAATTGTTAGAAGACCTTAAGCTAAAGGGTTACTCAATTTTTAAAGTAATTGAGATGCACTAGATGTTATTTTAAAATGCATTTAAAATGTTCCAAAGATGCTTATTTTTATTTTTAGTTTTTAATTAGTCAACAAAGCTTGCAAGAATGGAAATGTCTTCAGAGGAGGCAAAAGTATAGGGAGCTAAGAGAAAGCTGTAGAAGGCAGTATCTAAACAAAGTTACAAATGTTCCAGAGGATGTTTGGGTTATAATTCATCTTTATTGGTCAAGGTAATTACAGTCTTGCGTAAAATGTTGAATACTTCAATACGAAGAATTAAACTGGTAATTAAAAAGCAATACCAGGAAAAATTCAATATGGGAGACTTATGAAATAGCATTTGGTTGGAGGCAATGGAATTACAGAGCATCTGACCTCCTTGATTTGTTAATTCACTTTCTGTGAGTTAATCACTTCACTTCTGTTCAATTATATGACAAAAAATATTTTGCTGTGTACACTTATCACCACCATGTATGCAACCTCACTGAGATCTCTGAATTTCAGTGAGAAAGTGGTGACCCCTGTTTGTTTGTAGATTCTTTTCCTAGCAGGAATGCTTTAACAGGATTTTTCTTTTCCCTTTATTTCCCCTTTTTTACCCTTTGACTCCAGCAAATCAAAAGTCCATCAGGAAAAGTTTCAGTTATGAAAAATGAGGAAGGCTAGGGGACTTGTTAGTTTATCAGCTTCCCAGTGAATTCTGTAGCAGTAGCAGAAGTTGTGATAGGATCCAGCAGAAATGTCAGAGGTCTCCTATGATCAATTCCTTATATGTTAGCAACTCTATTAGATGTTTTTGAAAAGCACTAAGTATTAGTATGGAATATTTAATTATTTTTTAGGCTCAGACCAGATTTAGATAAAATTACAGCAATTTAAATTTGCAGATCTGAAGAAAGAAAATAGCAGCCTTTCCTGATTTTCACTGTGTTTGTATAATGGAGAACCAATTCTGTAAGTTACCACTGCGCAAATACGAGTCTGTGAGGAAACTGGTAATAATGAATATGAGTATCCCCAAAGTCTCTCATGGCTAGTAATGAAACTGCCTCTTGGCTTCCAGGCTGCTGCCACATCGGCTGCTTTGAATTCTGTCAGGTACAACAAAGACCCTAATTGCTAAAACGTTAATGGGATGAAGGGAAACAAGAAAAAGGGGATTTCTGTGTCTGCGTTTTTGGTGTGTTTTGTTTGTTTGTTTGTTTGTCTGTCTTGTTTTTCTTTAACTGATGTTTATATAGTGATTGCATTGCAAACAGTCTATGGAAGTAATGAACAGTTCTATGGTGATACTATGACTATACAAAGGTTTCCCTGACATTACTTAGATTTTACTAGAAGAATAAAGAATTAATGACACGTTAAACTGAAAGCTATTCTAAATAAATGAAAGTAAAATGTATGTTATAGGTTCAAACATTTCATTTAGACTCTCCAATAAATGGACAGAATGAGCTTTAAAATCTCAGTGGAGAACAAAACTGAGGCACAGTGCTTGAAATGTCTGGTAGCTTTACTGACATATTTCATAGACTGTGCCTCCTGTGTAATTTCACTTGGACAGCTCTTTGAATTGCAATGATCTTAGAAGAACTTAAATATAATTTGTGGTGCAATTCTTATAACAAATTAAAATAGAAGCAGACTATAGTATTCTTTAAAGGCTTTAATAACTTTAGGTACTTTACGAATACCTAAAGTGTCATCATACTTTCTTCTTTTCTAGCATCCCAATGTGTTTACTGGTTAATGAACACCTCAACCTGCTCTCCTGGAAGTTTCCAGAAGTCAAGTTTCTCAAAGCCATTGTAAACTGTTGCATTCAGAATTACCATGATAGATACAATATTTGCATATGAACTAGTGAAATAAAAGGCAGGTGCATTGGAGTAGCTGAATGTAGAAGGTATGAGAAATACTTTTAAATAACTCACAATTTTATGTTGTTTGTAATCATTTGATCTAAAGTCCACTGCTTAAAGAGTGAACAGTTTTTTAATTATTTTTGTAGGGGAAAAAAGTCTACAAAAAGCAAAGAAGTAATTTATGTAATTCTGTGGCAAGAGTATTGCCTAAGCGTGGTTATTCTGCAGTGTCACTGTTAGATGTTTTACCGAGATAAAGTTGGGTTGGCTCTATTTTTTGTTGTTGAGATGTGTCTTGCTCTTTATTTAAAGTCCATTCCTTTTAAGTGAGAATTATCTGGAACTATTAGAATAAACTGTAGCTTGTTTTTACAAGAGTTCAACTGAAAACTAGCAGAAGTCAGAGCAACAAATACTAAGGAGAAAACCCCCAAAATGACATTATATGATGACACTGCCAGTGTGAAGCACTTCTGCTCATGAAGACACCAATACAAAAACCAGTGATGTGATGAAACAGCTTGAGAGCCTTTTGATGCAAATCATCTGTTCTGGCATAAGTTAGTTCATATACAGTTTTTCACTCCTTTGGTAAGCCTGAAACTATTAAAAACAGGGAAAAAAAAAGAAAAAAAGAAAAAACTTCTGTTTCGCTTGTGTATTTTTTGGTTTTGATTTGCAGAAGAAAACTGTAGTAAATGGAAGCCATACTTACCTTTAGATTCCTATAGATGACCATCATTGACATGGTGAGTCTGGAGTCTCCATTTCATATAAACTCTGCTTAAATGCTTAAACCAGCATTAGCTGGTGGGCTCTAATCCATACTTTTGTCTTCCTTTTATCCAGCATGGGTGCAAGATATTCCTTTAATTTTCAGTGACATTACTGCAGTAGAAGTCTGCTCTGCAAAGTACCTTCTCAGTTCCCCCACTGAAAAGTGTGACCCAAAGACAATGATGTTTATAGGCATATATAATCAGGATTTGGATGTGAATCCATTGACTAACACTTGTGTTTGTCTGATAAGAGTTCAAGAATTTTCTCTAGGGTTGTAGATAACTGTCCCACTATTTTAGAACACTGACAGTTGGATCAGTTTTTCTTTCCCTAGAAACATAACTGTATCTTTTACAAAGTAGTTTACAGTACCACTGTAGAGAAGCAAAACTATCTGAGTGAATGAAGAGGCCTTACTCCTGATTCAGCATTTTTATTTCTTATGAGTAGTGAATCAAACGGTATAGTATTAATGTTATTTTTCCAGTGACTCATCATACAAAAAAAAATCCCAATGTGCTTATGAAGATTTAGTTAAATACAGTTGACATGGTTTATAACACCAAAGTGCAGAAAGAAAAATGGAAACACATGGCACACAGATATATAAGAAGAAAAACAAAATGAATTGGTGATTGTTTTTTTTTTTTTCCACCCAGTGAGATACAGCTGTCCTATTGGTAGATATTTACTGGCAGATACCACTTCTGGGAACTTTTATTTCGCAGATTCAAAGAGACAACTCGTAGATACATTTCAGAGACAACGGCTTATCTGCCGTTTTCTGCCCCTTCAAACTAGAGAGCTAGTTACTAGTTTTAAATGTACATAGGTCACCAGGGGCTTTAGATATGATTCCAGAGTCATTTCAAGTACCAGTGTTGGCTGCTGCAAAAGGAGTGACCTCATCGGTGACCTCCCTGGCAGCACCGTGGCTGCTGTGAGGGACACAGGCACAACTCACAGCAATTCACAAGTGCCAGAGCTGTCACATGAGAAGCAAGATATGGTAGGAAAGTGCCAAACCTCCTCTTTGGTGACCGTTACTTCATAACTTCATCCAAGTAGTGACCGTGTGATCGTGGTTACGGCCATCAGGTGTGACAAAGCAGAAGCAAAACCCAAGGGAAGCTGCAGGTTAAAACCAGATGTTTCTGGTGCTGGGTCAGTTACACTGTTTGGAAGTAAAGGCTCTAGGAATGAACGTGTCAACCTTGCTTTACAAGGATTATGTGGATTGTGGCAGGCTTTCAAGTCAACATCCACTGACTTTAGTATTCTGGTGTGATGTGAAATTTCGTTTCAAAATCAGCCTCCTCAAATAGATCTCTTTTGAATAGGCCAGTGAGGATCAAAAACGAATGCCCTGAGCAGGTGTTTGCTCTACAGTTCTGAAGTACATCACACACGAGACGACAGCGGCGGTTCTGTAGGAAACATGGAAGATTTCTGCATTTCTGGCCCAGTCCAGTTACATCACTCAGTAATTCCCAAACTATCTGCTGCTTCTGATTTGGCACTATTTAAAAGCTACATTGGCTCTCTCATAACCCTTGTGAGTGAAACAAAACAATAATAACATACCAGAGCAAACTTACACTGATGACAAATGTATAGTAATAGTATTTCAACGAGAATAGTTTCATAAAATCACTACAGCACGTCTAACCAGTCCTGTACCCCCAGCATCCTCTAACATACTTTCAAAAGAGAAGTAGCATTAAAAAAAATTACCTTGCTTAGGTCATAATTTTTGGCAGAAAACACAAATGTATGTCACCTCCACAGCTGTCATACAGTAATCTTGTCATACATTAATTTGCTACTGCAACACTGCAGTAGGAAAGTGTTATGTTCCCATACATGCAAGATGTGAAAAGAGACAGGACAGAATCTCTACTTTATTTTTCTGAAGAATTACTGTTGGTTACTAAAGCTCTTTTGGCAAATTTGATAGATACAGCTTGATGCTATTTTTAGCTTCCTGGTTTCTTTGCCATATTCTACTTCTGGTAATTATGCATTTTTGTTGGGAATATTCCTGCATTTTCTCCTGGATGTTCCCTTCCTGCTATACCCTATTATCTCTGCTACATTTCATCATAGAAGCCTTATCCTTTTAATGAGTAATGGTATTATTAGTTTTGTTTATATCACATTTTCCTTAATTGAAAGCTAGAAATGAGAACTAGAAATGGATCACTAACAAAAATGAGTGTTTTTACTAATGCTTTTTAGAACTCTTTAGCAGAAAAGCTGAGCTCATGGTTAGCTCTTTGGCAACATTACTGTTAAAGACGCTCCTGCCCTGCAAATACCTTTGCATAAGACTTTTGGGTGGACCAAATGGGGAAACTGATCTACCTGGAAAGTAACCCAGAAAGGAAAATCCATGAGATTTTGCAGCCAAGTTCCTTATTTCATTCCAGACACAGACACGAATTAAGTTTCTACAGGTACGCATTTGTAATCGCACTTTGAGATATGTTCCTTGAACTCTCAAATAACTCGGGAAGCCCGTCTGTTCCCAGAGAGCATCGGGGACGCCGGGTGTTTCCCTACGGGAAGGCGCGTGTGCCCGCGTTCCGCGCCAGGTTCACCGTGTCGCAGGGGAAGCTCCTATGGAGACGCGGCTGCGAGCTCTCTGCCCGCCTGCAGATCACCCCTCGCAGCAGCGTCGCGGCTCTCCCAGCCGCAGCCCAGCGAGCCCCGGCGCTCTGTCCGTGCCGGGCGGTGCCGTGTCCGCCATTCCCAGCGCGCGGGGTGAGCCGAGGCGAGGTGAGCCCAGGTCAGGGCGGCGCGCGCACCGCGCCTGCGCAAAGCCAGCTCCCCCCAGCCGGGACGCGCGGCGCGGCGCGCGCAGAGCGGGCCTCCCCGCCCCGGTGAGCCGCGTGTGCGCAGGCGCGGCGGCGGCGGCTGGGCGCGAGGTGCCGCGGGTTGCAGTGCTGCCGGGCGCACGCGCGGTGGCGCGAGGCGCCGCGGCGGCCGGCGGCGGTGGGGGCCCGGCGGCGCAGGCGCAGTGGCGGCGTGGGGACTGCCGGGCCCGGGTGCTGCTGGAGCCGCCGGAGCAGCAGCGGCAGGAGCAGGAACAGGAGCAGGAGCAGGAGGAGGACAGGGAGGAGGGGGAGGAGGCGGCTCAGTCAGGCAGTGCCGGCGGGCGCGGGGCTGCGCGCGAAGAGCGGCGCTCGCCGGGACAGCTGGGGCGGGCAGCGGCAGCGCGGGGACAGGTGAGCGGCGAGCGCGGTGCGGGCGGCGGTGCCGGGCCCCGGCGTGCGGCGGCGAGGGGGAGGCGGGGGGACGGCTCGGAGGGCAGCGGTGGAAGTTGGACAGCGCCGGCGGGTCCCCCGCCGCGCACCGGCGGGGCGGGAGGGCAGCGGCTGCCCTTGGGCGGGCACGGCCACGGCCGGGGGCGGGGGGCGCTCGCGGGGCACCCGCTAGGCCCGGTGACCCACTTTGCTCCTGTCACAACTCCGGGCGCGCCGGGAGCGCTGCCCGCCTGGCCCGGCGCCCGCCGACCGGGCAGGGCGGCCGCGGGGCTCCCCGGCATCCCCGGGCCGGGCCGGGCCGAGCGGAGCCGTGGGCGCCGCCTCCCCTCGCGGCCCGTCCGCCGCCGCTCCGCGGGGCGGCTCGTCCCGCGGGGGCCGGGGGGACCCGCCCGCCCCGCTGCCCCACGTCCGGGGCAGGTTAGCGCGAGGGCCCGCGGAGCGCGGTGCGGGTGATCGCACGGCCGTCGGGCTGCGGTCGATGCCCGCCCGGCCCGGGCCCTCCCCGGGCGGGACGGCGCTGCGGGGCCGCGGGCTCCGGACGGCGGCGGGAGCCAGCCCGGCGCTCGACCTGCGGCAGGTGGAATGGAGCTGCGGGCTCGTACTCACTTTGTAGGTTTTTTTAAAAAATCTTCGGTTAACTTTATTGCGGTACCTCTAGCGTCTTCGCGCTCCGAAACGTGCGGGCTTCTCAGAAGCCCCCGGTCCTCGCCCCACATACTGCGGCCTTAAAGTCAGTGTGACAAATACTTCAGTGCGTGCAGGTGTGAAATAGGACCAGCGAGGAAATCCGTAGTACTTAAATTTTGTGTTTGTATTAAGGTGGATCCGCATTTCTTGTTGGTTTCACTTTCAAATTCCTGCTGCTTTAGACCTCGATATAAATTTGAATTTTATTTTTTTTTTCCATGAGGAGCAGTGCTTGTGAACTAATCAAACAGATATGTCGTGAGATCTCCGTAAAGCAGTTGTTTTCATGTGCCTGTTAAGGGCTGACCTACCAAGAGTCACAGGGAAAGTCAGATAAGGTTTTAGCTAGGATATGAAGTGGCATTTAGAGGCAGAGTGGCTGGTCATAGATCCAGATCCTCTGAATGCTTAAAGTGTTTTTTTAAAATGACATAGTTTGACAAGCAGAGCTTTTGGTGGCAGTGTGGACTTGACCAGGCCTGCCTCTTCCTTGCTCCCCACTCTCCTCTTTGCTGCCCCCCCTCAGCTGCACCAGCACAACGGTTCGTGGAATTGTGTCCTGTAACTGGCTTGGGGAAATGATCCGGGTTAAAATTAACTACCTGGGTTGTTTTTCTTTTTTCTTTTTAATGTGGTTATTTATATTTAACTTATATAATTTCCTTGGGTAACAGGTGTGCCAGGAGGCAAAAGGATTGTTTAAGCAAATGCTCTAGTGAAAGAAGTACTTGAGAAATAGATCTCAACTGTTGAAGTCCTGGCAAAGTTCAGTTTGAGCAGTTTTAGTTGTTTCAGACTGTTCTATCTAACAGAAATAAGGTTGACTTTGTTTATAAATATTTGTGGGGTTTGGGCGTGTTATTTGAAATTGGAC